GTGTGTGTGTGTGTGTGTGTGTGTGTGTGTGATTGTTTGTGTACGTGTGTAAGCGTGTGTATGCATGTAGTTATGCGAATGTAGACAGTTTGTACGCCTTTTGATTATATCGCGAGGAACTTCGAAGGCATACAAGCACAGGGGCGGGCATGTCGACCTCGCCTCTTATGACGTCACACATCTCAAGGGAAGGATTTTTTTTTCTTTCTTTCTTTTTTTTTTTTTCATTACCTCATGTTCTTTTTATTCATCTTGCTCCTTCCACCTCGCCATTCTCGTCTTCCCTCTTCTTCGTTTTCCATTTAATTCTCCTCCCACTCCTTTTCCGCGTCCTTCGCTTCCTGTTTATGTTCCTACTCCTTAGTGTTCATATAACTCTTCCTCTTCTTCCTCCACCTCCTCTTTCTCTTCAGTGTCCTCCTCCTTTTTCTCGTCCTCCTCCTTTATCCCTCTCTTCGTGTTCCTCTTACCCGCCAACTTCCCCTTCCTCTTTCTTTTCTTCTTTCTCTTCCTCTTCCTTTTCTTCCCCCTTCTCACCGCTTCCTCTCCTTCATCTTTCTCTTCTTCCTCTTCTCCTCGTCTTCCTCATCCTTTTCCTCATCCTCCTCTTCCTTTTTCTCCTCTTCTTCATCCTCCTTTTTCTCTTTCTCCTCTTCCTCATCCTCCTCTTCCTCATCCTCCTCTTCATCATCCTCCTCTTCCTCTTTTTCTCCCCCCTTTCTCCTCGCCCCCCCCCCCCCCCTTTCTCCTCGTGCCCTCCAACTATACCCGCTCGCCTACCTATAGTGACGTCATCGAAGAGAACACGATTGAATACTAATTACATCGCACCTTCGCTGCACTCTCCCGGCATTCACTGAGCGTCGGAGCGATTAATTGGCGAAGGGGCTTTCGTCGATTTTTTTAAAGGAGGGGGGGGGGAGGCGGAAGCAGGGATAAAAAGTTTGATGTTTTTTTTTTTTTTTTTTTTTTTTTTTTTTTTTTTTTTTTTTTTTTTTTGCGGTATGTTTTGTTGTTGCTGTTCGCTGTCGTTGTTGTTGTTCATGTTATCTGTTTGTTGGTTTGTCTGTTGATGAATGTGTTTATCCATTTATCGATCTACCTGTTGAGCTATTTTTCTCTGTTTATATCTCTCTCCCTCTCCTTTCTCCCTCTCCCTCTCATTCCCTCCTTCCCTCTCCCTCTCCCTCTCCCTCTTCACTTTCCTCTCTCTTTCCCTCTCATTCCCTCTCCCTCCTCCTCTCTCTGTCCCCCTCATTCCCTCCTTCCCTCTCCCTCTCATCCTCCCCTTCCTTTTCCCTCTCTCTCCCTCGCTGTCATTTTTGTCATGACTCGTTCTTTCTCTCTTTTACTCTCCTCGGAATTGACAGCGTGTTGAGAAGGGCAACATTGTTCTTTCTGACAGAAGGGGACTTGCGGTTTGCTTATACGGGTGACAAGTTTATTTTCTGAGGGAGGTTGGAAAGGGGGCTTGGCCTAATTTTTTTTTCGCTTTTCTTTTTTCTCCTTTCTTCCTTTCTTTCTCCCTTCCTCTCTCTTCCTCCCTCACTCACTCACTCCCCTCCCTCCGTTTCCCTCCCTCCCTGTTGTTTCTCTCTCTCCTTTTGCTTTCTCTTCCCTCCCTTTTCTTTCTCTCTCTCCTCCTCCACTCTCTCTCCTTCCTACTCCTTTCCTCTACCCCTCTCCCTCATCCACAATTTCTTTCCCTCCCTATCTCGAAAAATGGAAGGGGGAGAGAAATAAGAAAAAAGTGAAAAATTAAAACAAGAACTTATTCCAACCCCCCCCTCCCCCGATCTTTTTTTCTTTTATTTTTTTCTTCTGCAAATGTAATGTTTTTGTTTGTTTGTTTGTTTGCTTTTTGTTTTTTATCAACATTCTTGCTCGTTGCCGACTCTCTAACTCTAGGGGCGGGGAGGTCATGTCACCACGTCATGTCCGGGAGTCTCTTTTGAGTGATGGTTCGACCCGTTTGGCAACGTTTTGGAGAGACGTTTGTGCCGACGTTTAACGCATCCGTCATCCGGGGCGTGGCGGGGTGGAGGGGTGGGGGGAGGGAGGGGAGGGAGGGGGCCGGTTTCGAGGGAGTTCGATTTGTTGACTTGGACTTGGCTTGTCTGGTTGAATTATGGATTTGACTTGGTTTGACTTTTTTTTTTTACTTACTTGCTTTATTCGGGATGACTTGATTGATTGATTTATGTACATGTTGTTTGACCTTTTTTTTTTGGGGGGGGGGAGGTAAGCTTTTCCATCGTAATTGTCTACAAGGTCGACATTATCAATATCACAGCTATCATTATCAGTATGTCATGCTTACCGTGATAGCTATTATCATCGTTACAGTCGTCTTCATTACACCGGACATGCTAATCGTACTAATCGTTTCTGAGAGATAAGAAGATGAGTGACTGTCTAAGAATCTGCCGAAAAGAAGCGCATGGGCATTCAGTCACACGGGAAGCGAAGGAATGATAAAACAGTCAAAGAAATATGTGGCAAATGGCTGAAAATATTCGCCACATGCTCTTGTACACTTTTTTTTCGTTTTCTGTTTTTTAGTTTCTTGCTTTTTAATTTTACCGTGTTTTTTTTCTTTATTTACTACACTGTCCGACTCGTTGCTCTCTAGTTTAGTTTAGTATTAGTTTTTGTCAAGGGAAGTTTGGTTTAGCTGCACGTGTCCTTTTTTTGTCTCTAAAGGTGTAGAATTTCGTAGACGTCTCGTGTGAATATCCCCGTTTTCGGTTGTAGGTGAAGATTCGCTGGGGGGGTAAACTCAAATATTTTGGGAACCTACGACGCTTTGTGCGTTTAGCCGTCTCCTTACAGTGAACTCTCTCGCACCACGTAAGTTTTAATGAGCTATAACGGCGTTTTAGAAGAAGGGAAACAACGAGATTTGGGGAAGATATTCAGCCCCGGTGTGAAAGAGTTCGTAACCTGCCGTTTATGTGCAGTTATAGGGTACAGCACCTAGTTCTTGCATGGTATTTACAGTGACTAAGGTGCAGTGCCGGGTACAGGGAGAAACGGGAAGGGGAAATTGGGTTATACTACATTTATCGTTTTTTTTTTTTCTTATTTCTGGTTTAGCGCTGATGAAGATTAGGATTAGGGTAACAGAAGGAAACAGAGGGCACCGGGAATCTGTAAGGACTGGCGTCTCTGTTACGGTTGATATTTTTTTCGGCATGAGTTTGTATGTCTGTGGGGGTGGGGTATATGTGGGTGGATGGGTAGGGTGTGTGTGTGCGTGTGTGTGTGTGTGTGTGTGTGTGTGTGTGTGTGTGTGTGTGTGTGTGTGTGTGTGTGAGAGAGAGAGAGAGAGAGATAGAGAGAGAGAGAGAGAGAGAGAGAGAGAGAGACGGAGACAGGGGCAGAGACAGAGACAGTGACAGTGACAGACAGAGTAAGCACAGATACAGAGACATAGAAAAAGAAACAGTTATCTGACTCATTTCGATTATTAAATCAACGAGGCAGACAAACAGACAAATAAAAAGAGAGAGCCAGAGGGAAACGTACATACATACTCATTTTTAGCAAGAATTAAACCAGCTTTCACGTCGCACCGGAGATGAAGTAAGGCATTGACCGCAAGATGAGATTCGTGAACCCAGCTCACGAGAAAACCAGGCGCCCCCCCCCCCCCTCCAGCCCCACCCCACCCAACTGGTTACCCTGTACGCAAACAAGTGATCTTCTTGTTTACCCCCCTACCCCTACCCCCACCCCCACCTCGAAAAGGGCCTTCGTCCTTCTGTTTACCTCTGTGCTTGCTCGTCTGCCTGCTTGCCTGCATTAGTTAGTTGTCGTGTCCAGATATTAACACGTTAGGCTTTTTTTTATTATTATTTGTGTTTTTGCTTTACATTAATTTACATTAATTGCCTTTTCTAATGAAATGAAGGAAGGAAGGAAGAATCGATGTTTGTTGTCGAATGGTGAAAAAAATGCAAAACCCTGAGTGACGAAATGAGTGCCATTTCCTCTTCTAAGAAAAAAAAAAAACAGACTGATATTGAGGTCCGATGTTTTGGATTCGGTTATGTGTCCTTGGTCAGTTCCTTCGCGAGATGAGAGAGTGGAGCGTTTGTGTCAATCCTCCCTGAATACCTTTGTGTGGTTGTTTATTTATCCTTATTTGAAATAGGTTGGTGTGGATGTGATTGTGTGTGTGTGTGTGTGTGTGATATATATAATATATTTATAATATACAGATAATATATTTACATATATATATGTATAGATATACATATATATGCATATGTATATATATGCATACATACATGCATACACACACACACACACACACACACACACACACACACACACACACACACACACACACACACACACACACACACACACACACACACACACAAATATATATATATATGTGTGTGTGTGTGTGTGTGTGTGTGTGTGTGTGTGTGTGTGTGTGTGTGTGTCTACATACTGACATACATGTACATATACATATATACATTTATACTCATACACATCTGCACATATATATACACATGTTTGCCTGTATGTTGTGTTTATATTCATAGATAGATAATAGATCGATAGATACTACTCTCTCTCTCTCTCCTCCTCCCTCTCTCTTTCACACTCTCTCTCTCCTCCTCCCTCTCTCTTTCACACTCTCTCTCTCCTCCTCCCTCTCTCTTTCACACACTCTCTCTCTCCCTCCCTCCCTCCCTCCCTCCCTCCCTCCCTCCCTCCTTCTCTCCATGTCTCTCACCCTCTCTCTACCTATCTATCTCTGTCTCTATCTCCCTTTCCCTTTCCCCTCCCTCCACATATGAATAAACGTGCATAGCTAGGCAAAGCGCAAAGCACCCAGAGTGCGTGGCCACTAACCTCCGCTGTGTGCGCTGTCAATGAACCGAGAGTGCGTCAGCGTGCGTGTCCGGCGAGCTCAGCTCCGCCCTCCCCCTTCAAAGCCCGCATCGGCAAGGCACCTCACTCCCTCCCCCCCCTCCCACCAGGTCACCGCCGGTCGTCGTCGTTCGGAACCCCGGGGTCCAAGCTTGGGGATGAGGAGGGAGGGGGGGTCAAAGGTGGAGAGACGCCCCCCCTCCTCTCCTCCACCTCCCATCCTGCCAACCTACACATGCCACATCACCAGATAGGTGAGTGTGACGCGCCCCCGAAAACCCCTCTTCCCGCCTCGCCCTGTGACGGTGTGTTTGCTTGCTTGCTCGCTTGCTTGCTTGTGCTATAACGCTTGTTGTATCTCCTCTTCTTTTTTTCTTATTATTTATTTTTTACCGTGATTTGTCTCGTCTTGTCTTGCTCCCTTCTCGTTACGACTGGCATTAGTGTACGAGACTACACTACGAGGATAACCCCTGCTGGTCACCCCTGCTTGTACTCCCTTCCCCTCACTCCTGGAGTCAAGCGGCTGTAGACACCGGTTTGTCTCTTGCATCGCGGACACTAATTGTAGAAGGAAAAAGTTGTTGTTTTTTTGCGTGTGTGAGTGAGAGCCTGGCTTCTGCTTGCACGTCGTGGGTGTCTGCCTTCAGGAACGGTAAGAGAGTATGGATAGTTGTATTTTCTTTCTTTCTCAGTTGTTATTATTGTTGCTGTTGTTGATAATGGCGTTGTTTAGGATTCATTGTACGTGGTGTGTTCCCGTAGCTCCGTAGGAAAATTAATTTTAACTCATTTTAATCCGGATGATAGGAATACATGTCATGTCCACTGCAATGTAAGTTCATTAATGGCTCCACAAGGGGGTAGTCACAAAGGGGTCACTTATTAATCCTGCCCATCTCACCTGTTTACCCTTTTCATTAATTTTGGAAAAGTTCATTTCTACTTTGTTATTGTCTTTAGTGTTATTAAAAACATTAAATAGTGTTATATTAATAGCATTAGAAAGAAAGAAAAAACAACAAAGAAAAACACATTTCCTCGTAATTTCAAGGAATGGAGATGTCAGGAGCGGTCACTAGGGCCTACTGATAGATTACTTGGTGCTGAGCACATGTGGAGCCATTTGTATGTAACGAAATTCACAAAAAAAAATAAAGAAGACAGAACATAAATCCATTGTCATTGGGTTAAGTGGGTTACACAGATTGCTTACTGATAAGTTCAATTAATTACATATATATATATATATATATATATATATATATATATATATATATATATATATATATATATATATATATTATTTTTGCGCTTGAGTATGAATTGGAAATCACATCTTACATATCCAAGAACTGTGATAAACATTGTGTCTGCAGATTTTAAGTCGGGCTGCTGCATCGTGACACAAATTCCTTTCCATAGCACACAGCTTTTTACATGTCCAGAAGGCGCAAATAAGTAGAAGGATAAATTAACACCAAGGACGTTCAATCTGTAAACCGAGCTGTCCAAGGTCTGGGTCTCCGCGCCCTCTTGGATATTTTTATTTCGTTTTTTTCAAGTCGTTCGTCATATATCAACTTCTTGAGAGCACTTTTCCCCTTCTGTGACCTCATTTTTTTCACAGTTGTTTAAATGGTCTGTCAGTTGCGTTTCCCATGGGGGGGGGGGAGTCATCTCTTTGCAGATACTTGCTATTATATATATGTGTGCATGATCGTGTCAGTAAGCAATTTGTTTGAGAGTAAAGTGTTGATTAAGTATTTTGTGATCTAAAGGAATAGTGTGTGTGTTTGCGCGTTCGCCTTGTCCTTTCTTTTTTGTCTTTCCAGTTTTAATATAGTGATAACGACGATTATTTGCTTCTTGTTCTGTTTTTTTATGCTTCTGACACTGCTTATTCGTTTTGTTTTGTTTCTCTCTGGCTTTTGTTAATTTTGATATCGCAATACGTTTTCCTTTTCGTCATACTTATCCCTATCATTTTCCTTTCTCTCTCTTCTCTTCCCTTCCTAACATTTTGTTTTCCTGGTTTCATATATATATATATATATATATATATATATATATATATATATATATATATGTGTGTGTGTGTGTGTGTGTGTGTGTGTGTGTGTGTGTGTATGTGTGTGTGTGTGTATACTGCCCCCCCCCCCCGTCGTTCCTTCCTCACTTTCTCCCTCCTTCTTCCTCCCCCCCCCTATTGCCTGCGCCCCTCCTCCCCTTTTCTTCTGCCTGCGCCCCTCCTTCCCCTCTTCCTTCTTTCTGCGCCCCTCCCTCCCTCCCCTCGCTAGTTCCTGTAGCGACTTGCTCACCGTTTTCGCCCTTTAGTCACTGGGTAATTCCTTCGCGTCATCAGCTCCCCTTGCCGTTTCCTCCCTCCCTCTCCGCCTATCTCCCTCCCTCCCTCCATGCTTCCCTCTCGCCTTCCCACCTATCCTTTCCTTCCCACACACGCACGCAAAATATATCCATACAGAAACCTACGCAGACAAACACACACACACGCACGCAAAATCTATCCACATACAAACTCACGCTCACAAACACATACACAAACGCAAAATAGATCCGCACACAAATGCACACATGCACGCACGCATGTATGCACGCACGCACGCACGATACCGCCACGCAAACACCGACATATTCCTCTGTACCTTTGCCAATCTGTCAACGGTGAATTAATGTTTTATTTTGTATTATCACTTTTATTCCTCTCGCTCTGATCTCTGATTTATGGCGCCTCTTCGCTTGATACGAATCGGTATATATATATATATATTTTTTTTTTCTTCTTCTTCTTCACAGTCGTAGTGATTTGTTGTAGATGTGGATACCGTCGTTGTTGTTGCTATCATCTGTTTAGTTGTTGTGTTGTTGTTATGATAATGAGGATGGTAATGATGATGATGATTATTATCGTTTTTATTGTTGTCTGTTTTTTGTTGTTATTATTGCTGTTAGTGCTATTATTATTATTATTATTGTTATTGTTATTGTTATTGTTATTGTTATTATCATCATTATTATATGATATCATGGTTATTACTTTTTCGTCATTATTATTATTACTATTATTAATGTTATCATCATCATTACCATTAATACTATTAGGCTCCTACTATTAGTACATTATGATTAGTATGTTGTTACTTATATAATTTTACTGCTGTTAGTGATGTATCTGTCACAGTTACTATTTATCCAACGATTGTTATTAACGATTTATGTTGATTTGAATATGTATTATATTACTTATATTACTTTTTTTTTGCATCTATAGGGCATATATGTTCTTTAATTTTCTTGCTGCGCATTTTATTTGCATTATTTGGGTAAGTATATGTCGTATAGCGTAAGGCTCTTTTTATGCTATCTTGATATGGAAGAAAAGGACAAAACGCACACCGATAGACGGGAAAAAAATGTTACAGTAAGTCACAGTCGAGAAAGGTAATATGGTTATTAATTATTGATAAAGGTAATACGATCATAATCTCGTAGTATTAACCCCCACCCCCCCACCCACCCCCCAAACCCGCTTGATCGCACCCCCACCCCCACCCCCTTCTCCCTCCTATCTGTGTTTTGTGTGTGTTTTCCCCCACCAATGGCCGTCTCCTTTCTCCTTCCTCGCACAGACCCCCTGATGAGGATGCCGGGAGGGAGCATGGGCGTGATAGACAACGCCCGTATTTACGGGGATAGGGTTCACCCGGCGCAGCACACGCCCTCTCCTACCTGCACGCCCACCTCGTCAGCCAACCAATACCCCATCATGTGTGAGTACAGGAGTGGATGAGGACCTTGTTTTTTTTTTTTTTTTTTTTTTTTTTTTTTTTTCTTTTTTTCTTTGTTTCTTCTTCCATTTTTTGTTTCTTGTGTCCTGTTCTTCGTTATTCCTCCATTTGCTTTTCCTGCAGCCTCCTCCTTTTCATCTAGCTCTTGATAGCGTATATTACTTTTTTTTTTTTTTTTTTTTTTTTTGAGCATAGATTTTTTTTCGTTATGTGTACTCTCTTTCTCTTTCTCTCTGACTCTTTTTCTATCTTTGTCTCTATCCCTTCCTCTCTTTCTCTCTCCTCTCTCCTCTCCCCTCCCTCTCTCCTCTCGCTCTCCTCCCTCTCTCCTCTCTCTCTCCTCTTGCTCTCCTTCCTCTCACCTCCCTCTCTCCTCTCCCCCCCCCCCCCCTCTCTCTCTCTCTCTCTCTCTCTCTCTCTCTCTCTCTCTCTCTCTCTCTCTGTAGGTGCCACTGCTTCACGCCATTACAAACTCGTTATCCCACCACTGCCACCATTGTCAACAATAAGAGCGTTAACTGGCGGGTCCCATAGCTTGACACCGCTATAGAATAGATGCAGTGTTGGTGGAGATGATAAGAACACAGGCTGCATGTTCTTTTGGTTCTTAAGGGCGAGCAGCAGACAAGGCGGTGGTGGTTCCTCTATTTTATTAAGAAGTTTATGTTGTAGAAGACGAGCAGCGGGTGTAATGCGAAGCAGGAGCAGGTGGTCTTACGGAGGAGCCCTTTTAGAACGAACCTAGGAGGTGCATTGCTGGATCTTCACTCTTGCTTAAGATGAGGACTAAGAGGCGCAGGCTAGGTCGGGAGAGGAGAGATGGATCGTGATGTAAATAGCTTCCAAGATGGTTTCGTGTTATAGACAGGTTGCGCAGTGTGTAGTAGAGTTCCTTAAGAAAATGAGGTTACACGAAGGTTAGGTCGGACTTCCATATGTGTACTTTTATGTGCTCTTACGTATATAATGTATGATGCAGTAACATGTTTATATCTCTCTCTCTCTCTGTCTCTCTTTCTCTCTCTCTCTCCCTCTATCTCTCTCTCTTTCTCCCTCCCTCCCTCCCTCCCTCCCTCCTTCCCCCCTCTCTCTCCCTCATTCCTTCCCTCCCTCTCTCTCCCTCATTCCTTCCCTCCCTCTCTCTCCCTCTCTCTTTCTCTCTCCCTCTCTCCCTCCCTCCCTCCCTCCCTCCCTCCCTCCCTCTCTGAAGAGGCGCCTAAATACACACGCACGAACACATATACTCACACATACACACACACGCACGCACACACATACTTACATACTCACACATACATGCACGCACATACCCACATCCACAACCCTGTATACATCGTCGAACAAACCGGATCAGCTGTAATCATTTCGTCACGAAATCCTTTGACGGGGGAAGTTATTTTGTTGCCCAATTAGGCGATGTTCGGCATTAAATTCCTCCGCGGATTTTATTGATATTTCAGCGTCGTGACAGCCGATGCCAGGAACTCTGCCGCGCCTCCTGGTGTTGCGTGGCGCGGTGTCGGCGCTGGTATGCGGTTCGCGGAGCACGTGTGTGTGTGCGTGTGTGTGTGTGTGTGTCTGTGTGTGTGTGTGCGTTCTTATGTATGTATGTATGTATGTATGTATGCGTTTCTGTTTGGGTGATGTTTGATTCTTGGTGCGTTTGTATTCATTGTTCATAAAGCTGGAAAGCGAAAATCAGTGTTTATTTTCTTTTTTTTGTTTACGTACAGATTTGTATGTATGAGTGTATGTGTGTTTTCTCCACGAGTGCGGGTGCGCGAGCTCGCGGGTTAGTATGTCGGGTATTTGTGGTGAGTCATCGGGCGTGAGTCATACCTTCCGCCTGCCGTGCCAACTCGCACTTTTTTTTTTTCTTTTTCTTTTTTCTTTTTTCTTTTTTTTTTTTTTACCTGGCCAGTTCTCAGTGCTGTCTGGCGGGGCGGGAAGGGGTGGGGCTGGGGGGGTAGGTAGAGGGAAGGGGCCTATGGGATAGGGGGGGAAGTTTATCGCAAAAATGGGACGGAAGTTCAGTTCAGTTCAATTAAGAGAGAAGGAGAGGAAGGGAGAGGTAGAGGGAGGGAGGGAGAGAGAGGAAGAGGGAGAGGGAAGGAGAGGGAGAGGGAGGGATGGAGGAAGGGAGAGAGAGGAAGAGGGAGAGGGAGGGATGGAGGAAAGGAGAGGAAGAGGGAGAAGGAAGGAGAGGGAGACTCGGGGTATTCTTTTCATTACTCTACAGATCAAGGAAGAAGGAGGAAGTGGTAAAGGGCGGAAGAAGGGAAGGTGGAAGAAATAGGAAGGGGCGGTCGAAAGGATGGGGGGAAGGGGGAGGAGGAGGAGGAGGAGGGCGTAGAAGGAGAAGAAGGGGTCTAGGATGGGCAATAGAAGGGGCGGCGGAGGAAGAGGAGGAAGGAATGAGAACAAACGAACTGGAGGGGAGGAGGAGGGAGTGAAGGTGGGCGGTTTTAACAGGCGGGAGTGGTAGGGGGGCGGGGACTTCTGTGGGATGGGCGGTTAGAAGGGGGGGGGGGGCGGAGTCGAATGTCATCACTCACACTCGCGCTTGTGCCTGAGCCTTGTATTGAAGTGTTGTAAGTGATGATGGGCGTGGGCGTGGGCGTGCGTTGGGTGGGGGGTGGGTTGGGGCGCAAGGCACTCTCATCGTCGTGGCCTTCGTTCGTGTGTCATGACGATCCGTTTTGAGGGAGAGAGAGAGAGAGAGAGAGAGAGGAAGACTGAGACAGAGAGAAGAAGAAGAAGAAGAAGGGGAAGAGGACGAAGAAGAAGAAGGGCAAGAGGAATGATAATTGTGATAATAGTAATATTGATAATAACGATAATAAGAATAATAGTTGATAGGTAATAGAATAAGGAATGAGAGGGATAGAGAGATAGAGAGAGAGAAAGAAAAAGAGAGAAAGGGAGGAAAGGGAGGGGGCGTGTCATATACACCTGTCCAGAAATATCAGTTCGAAAGAAAGGGAGACAGACAGACAGACGCGGGAGTTTTAAGTTTTATCTGAAATGAGGTTGAAGTTAAATTTAAGCTAAAGTGAAATAAAGTAATAATGATAGTGATAATTACTAGTATATTAGAGATAGAATTATAATGATTATAATAGTAATAGTAGTAGTAGTAGTTGTAGTAGTAGTGGCAACAATAAAAGGAATAATGATGGTAATAATAATGATAATGATAATGATATTAACAACACCAATAATAATAATAGTAATAATGATATTAACAATAATAATAATAATAATAATAATAATAACAATAGTAGTGACGGATGGCAAAACGGGATAGGGGGTGGGTGAGTCGGTTCTCATCCAAATTCCTCTTTCTTTTGTTTTATTTTTTCTTTCTTTCTTTTTATATATTTTTTTTTATTTTATTTATTTGTTTATTTATTTTTATTTACTAAGTGACGCCTCCATCAAAGTGGACATTCCTTATGGTTCTCATTTCCATCCGTTTCGTGATTTGTTGCTTCGAAGAGACATATAAGGATTCCCCCCCCCTCCCTCCCCCCTTTTTTCAACTCTTAAGTTCCCTTTGACAGATGACAGTTGTTTCGGCCAGGATTCCGTAACGTTCCGCCGAGCTACGTTGGATTTTTTCTTGTCCTCTTTTTCTTCCCTCTTTTTATCGCTCTTCTCTATCTCTGTCATTCGCTTTTCTTTTCTTTTTTTTCGTTTTCGTTTTTTTTTATTTCCTTTTTTCTCCCCTTCTATCTGTCTTTCTCTTTACTCCTTTTTTTGTTCTCGTCCCCCCCCCCTTTTTTCTTTATTATTCCTCTCTATCTCTGTCTTTCTCTTTACTTCTTTTTTTTCGTTTTCGTTTTTTTTTCTCTCTCTATTGGTTTTTGCGTAATGGGGCTTCGTTGCCGTTGTTGTGTGTGAGTCAGCCACCCCCCCCCCACACACACACACGTCACGATTGCCAACTCCGCCACATTTCTCACGCCACACGCTCGTTCCGGGCTAATATATTCCCGGTGATTCATCTCGGTTTTCTGATATCTGGGGACGGTGGGGTGGGAGGGAGAGGGGGGAAGAGGGAGGGAGGAAGGGAGGGATTTGGGAGGGAGAGGGGTGGGAAAGGTGGGAGGGAGAGGGGTGGGAAAGGTGGGAGGGAGAGAGGAGGGAGGGAGGGGGGGATTTGGGAAGGAGAGGGAGGGGAGGGAGGAAGGGAGAGGGGGGAAAGGTGGGAGGGAGAGATGAGGGAGGAAGGGAGAGGGGGGAAAGGTGGGAGGGAAGAATGGGAGGGGGTGGGGAGAAAGTACAAGGAAAAAGAGGGAGGAGGAGGGGACGAGAGAGGGGAATGGGGAATGGGAGGGAATCTTCGAGGGAGGAGGGGAAATAACTGGACAAGAGAGTGCGGAGTAGGAGAAAGGGGAGAGTGAGTGAGAGAGAGAGAGAGAGAGAGAAGGGGTGGGGGAGGGGAGATTATATTATTTTTCCTCCCCGCCGTGGTTTATTAAAAGCTTCGATGTGGTCGTGGAGCTGAATTCGTTAGGGTTGAATCCTCGGTGCGCTGACTGGGCTGCATGGAGTCGGCGTCGCTGCGGCTGCGGATAAAATAACTACCACGTGTTGGGATGTTTATTTGGACGGCCGAGAAGGGAGCTGTAACGAGATTAGGGAGAGGAAAGTAAGACCCCAAGACTACCATTAAGAGGTCTTTGTAGTTGGTAGCTTAAAGGGCGTCCTCTTAGGGTGTGATAGAAGGGTTTCCGCGCTACGTAATGAGGCAGGATTCCTCTTCAGAGTTTGTGTTCGCTGAGCCTAGGATCCCGTTGGAATTAGTGTATGTATCCTGTTAGGAGAGGGGGGATCATCATCATTAGGTGTATGTGTGTGTGTGTGTGTGTGTGTGTGTGTGTGTGTGTGTGTGCGTGTGCGCGTGTCGGAGTGTAGACGGGTGTGGTTTGTCTTGCTGTTGTGTTGTTTACGATGGCAGTGAAACATGTTTTCCTTAG